ACACCTGCAACCCTGGCCACACCGGCGACCCTGGGAACACTGGGAACACCGGGAACACTGGGAACACTGGGAACACTGGGAACACTGGGAACACTGGGTACGTCTGGGCCTCAGAAGTGAATGTGGTGGTCAGTACCTTGACCCGCTCCTCAAAGGGAACCACGAAGGGCAGTTCTGTGAGGATGGCGAGGTTTCTCTCCTCAGACACCGACAGCTGTGCAGGCTCTAAACCCACTGAAAACAAACACAATATATTTACAAGTAAATAGACATTCTTTTTGTTGAAGAGAGGGGGAGAGAGAGTGGAGTGTGTGTGTGTGTGTGTGGGGGGGTGGGGTGTGTGTGTGTGGGGGGGCAGCTGCCTTCAGTGAGCAGCAGATGAAGACTCTCTGGTTGTTGGATACTGTCTTAGAGATAACCAGCGTGGAGCGGACTGTGGTCTGTGGTCTGTGGTCTGTGGTCTGTGGTCTGTGTGCCGTACATCAGAACCTCTCTGACTCTACCAGAACAGTGACATTTCCAGCTGCAGCTCCACCTGCTGGACTGTTTCCATTAGCCTGACCTTTGTTTTCCATCAAACTCAGGCTGCGCGCCGTTCATCTGAGAGGGAAAAAAAAAATGCCACGACATCTGAACTGCTCTTCATTTTCTCCACTTTGCGCCCACTGCAGCTCAATTATTCTGCTCAATTAGTCAATCTGATCTGCATTTTCCCATCAGGTTTCCATCTTTGAGGATAAATATGGCCTTACGCCGGTCAATACGCTGCTCGTTTATCAGCCACCGGGGGGCCTGTGTCCATTTAAGGAAATGAGAAAAGGCAAGACAAACACGTGCACCAGATGTGGCTCCATTCATCAGGTACTTTCACGCTAATTGAATTCACCCCTCACAGCCCGTGAGTGGCAGTAGGTAGATCATACACACATTGTTATCAGCGTCAGCTCTCACACACAGCCAGGCCGTCGTCAGGCTGTTCCACACTGAGCGCCTAATTGAGTGGATACAGAGAAAAAGTGGCGGTCGTTTCTGAGAACAGAAGGATAATGACCAGAGCTGAGGTTTAATGATGTCATCAGTGATGGCTCTAACCACAGCCAGTGACTGGGTTACTTTCTCTCATTAGTCAGAAATTAAACTAATTACTAACGCTGTCACAATTTATCTGTTAACGGTGCTAATTATATCTCTGAATTCATCAGATTAAAAGTGTTTTGACTGACCAGACATCCCATAATTCCACTGTCCTGATATCTCTGCTCCAATACTCTATACTTTATTCACACGTTGCTGTTTCCCATCATCGTGTGTTTGTGGAGGTTTGGTAAGACGTAACTCATTACATTTTTAGTTGTGTTCAACAGGGGGCGTCGTGGTGAAGCACAGAGACATGAAATAAGCTCAACTTCTTTCTAATCATTCTGTTTCTACTGTGAAAGAGGATGAGAACTTTTTGTTCTCCCTGCAGAACTCTGTAGAACATGCAGAACAAACAGAGAAGGTGACATTGGACAGCAATTAGGATGATTTTCTGGGCAATGCATCAGGTTGACACCAGCGTTATACAACATCTCAGTTCTCCCTGCTGCCAGAGGAGCCGCTCTGTCACCGGGTACTTCAAGTACAATATGACTGGAGTAGCAGAGCCCAGATTAGGAGTAGGATTACAGTGAGGTCAGTGATTTGGTTTGATTTACTTGGAGCTCCTTTGTCATTAATTATTACTAACTATGATGCTATGAATCAGTGTCTCACCATCGAGCGTTGACTGAAGCGGCCCGATGCGACCCATTCTCCTGGTCCTCCACACGTGTCTGGCTGAGGGGACGTACAGCTGCGTGACCTGTGGTCAGTCCACATGCACTGTGTTCATATATACACACACACACACACACACACACAGATATACATCCATCCAGTCTGCACCACCGACGCACACATATAAATCTATACATAGGTATATTTATGTTGGATTAAAAAACTAAAATGATCAGATTGTAGCAGCTGTTTGAAAGAAACAATATGTGACAATAAATCAGTGTAATAATAATAATAATAATAATAATAATAATAATAATAATAATAATAATAATCTAACAGACCACGCCCACTTTGCCCACTTGTTTTTATCTTTATTGTCTTCCCGCGGAGGAACTGAAGGTCACATGTTATGGTGTTGAGTTACCCTGTCAGCACGGATGTTGACCTCCTCAGACAGCCAGTGGTCGGCTGGACAGAAGGGGCGTCGGATGTCGCGAGCCTTCACCATCTTCACCAGGTTAGTGATGACCTGTGGCCGTAGATCAAAGGTATCAAATCATCATGGGTGGACACAGTCATGGGTGGACACAGTCAACAGACGGATCATCTCAATCCAAACTTTTCGACACAGTCAAAGGTATCAAATCATCATGGGTGGACACAGTCATGGGTGGACACAGTCATGGGTGGACACAGTCATGGGTGGACACAGTCAACAGACGGATCATCTCAATCCAAACTTTTCTTTTTCAGAGCACATCCTTCTCACCATCGATCTCGGCCAATCACCGCGAGGCAACCGGAGTTCACGATATCGGCAAGTGCAAAATGTTGTAAAGACGCGCGGCGGTGGCTTTGGAGGAGGCCTCGCCCCTGACTCTGGGAATGAATAAGCATTCCTTAATTAGCCCATGGGGTTAAGTGCACGCCTTAATGGGCCGTTCCCAAACTCCAGCGTGACATCGTTCTCCAAACATGGCCAAGAAGAAAGTTCCATTAGCAATATTAATACAAGCTTAGTTGATCATTTTCATTCAATTAACTTCTTTCAATTAAATAGATAGCTTGACAATGGAGGTGATAAAAGATGGGGAGGGACGACTGATGACACGGACCAAACATTAGCGTGTTAGGGGTCAGCGGCGTTAAACGGACTGTAAATCCCGCCGTTCAATTTGGAAAATGCATTTCCCTGCTTCCCACTTCTTTAATGGGTCGTTCTCGCTGACAAGCGGCCTCTGAGCAGATCTTTTATGAAAAATACCCACGTGCTCTCCGTGTATTCGCCACCTTTCACGGAACACCGGTGTTCACTTTTAAATCCTTCTGTCAGTGAGTAACAGCCAAGAACAAAGTCACTTAATTACCGTTCCCTGGGCGGAGAAAGGAGAAAGGAGAGAGAGAGAGAGAGAGAGAGAGAGAGAGAGAGGAAATAGGGACGTGGTGTGAGGAGCCGAGCCAAGGAGAATGAAATCAATTCTGTTTTCTGCCTCATTTCCTCTCAGTAAACAACCGAGGGTTGACCTGGGTGGCAGCGGGCTGCACTCAGGCCTGACTGTCACCAGCAGCAGCAGGTCCGAGCCCCGCGGCTTGAACACAGACACACTGCACCACAGTGAGGTCCAGTATGACTGTTCAGATCATTTCTTCAAAGGTGACACTAATGTCATCAATTAACAGGAGACATTTAGGGTCAGTGCCAACTCAACGGTTGAATTATTCACTGGACAACACATGGTTTTTACACTCAGCTCTTTCCTTTGTTTCCATTTTCTCTGTGGCCGCGCTCTGGTCCATAAATGTTTAAAGAATCTTATTTTGAATTACTGAGTAAGTAATAAATATTTGAAAAATACAAAATAGATAGAACTTGAGTTAAATTTGAGTCTAGTTTTGTTCAACAATAATCCTAACTCACTCTGAGTTAGGATTATTGTATATGTCAGAGAATGTATGCCGTGTGTGAGTGTATTTAAAAAATGGATTGAACAGTTAAAAATATAAATACTTGTTGCTTGTAAACTCCTGTTATTTATAAACATCTACCTTGAAAAGCTGCACCCAGCGTTTCTGCTCGGCCTGGATGCGCAGCTGAACCTCAGTGTTGGTCTTGACCCCCACGCTGCGAAAGGCAGCCATGTACTCCTCCCTGTGCTCCGCCTTGGTCTCTGGGTAGGCCAGCTTGATGATTCCCAGACACGCGTCCCTCAGACAGCGAGACAGTGTGACCAGCTCTAACAGCGTGAAGGGCATCATGGACGACTGTGTCTGATCTGCAGCAGAGGGACAGACTGTTGACGGTGTTGTCGACATAAATGTGTACAGCAAATGTAGATATATGGGCTATAAATACATATATATATATATATATGTACACACATATATATATACACATATATATACATACTGTGTGTGTATATATATACATACATACATACATATATAAATATATATGTATAGCACATATCTACATATATATGTATATATATCTATATACATATATACATACTGTGAGTATATATATATATACATAGATACATACATATATAAATATATATATATATATATAAATAAATATATATATGTATAGCACATATATCTACATAGAGAACAGGGAGAGATGGAAATCAATGATTTGCTGTGGCAACCCCTGAAAAAAAAAAGGGACAAAGCCGAAAGAAAAAGAAGAAGATATATCTACATATATGTATTTATATCCATATACATATATATACATACTGTGTGTGTGTATATATATTTATACATATATGTATATGTATATGTATATGAGTGAAAACCAAATGTCGGTGTAACTCGGGCTCTAAGGCGTCATTTCATGTGCATCACTGTGATTAAACCACAGAGTCTTTAGTATTCAGTCTCTTTTGGGCCATAAAAGAATTTGAAGGACTTAAAAACACAATTGAGGCAAAAGTTTTATCAGACATCAGCAACGTCCTTCAGAGGTATTAGGTGGGGCAACATTAGTCTTAGATGGGAGGATGGGGGCAAAAATGAAGATGCTGTGATCTTCACTGGGAGAATGGACATGTTGATGAATGAGCGGATCAGAGGGTGGAGCAGTGTGCAGAGGGACAGTTAAGGTGGAGATGTTGGATTGTTACCTTCCATTTCATGGCCAAAAAACTCGCTGTCATGCACGGAGATGAGCGAGTGGCTGAAGAGCGAGCTGAAGAGATAGAAGAGTGGAATGATGCGGTTGGAGTCCTCAAATGACATGGGAGAACCTCGGGAGATCAGCTGGAGCAGCGGCACCATGGAGCTGCAGGAGGAGACGCAGAGAGGAGGAGGCCAACGTCAGTCACCAACCGTCCTGGACAGGTTCTCATTTATTGATCATAAACATATTTGCCAATAATAAGTGCATTAGCTCACCCAGTGATCATCGTAGTCGTCATGGATGTGATCAGGTGCCACAGATGCCGGAGGAAGCGTGCATTGAAAGCTAAACTGTACAGGAGTCTGAAAAAAAACACAACAAATACACATTACACACGTCATGAAGGTGTACTAATACTCCTGTCTGAAAAAAAACACAACAAATACACAGACACGTCATGAAGGTGTACTAATACTGGAATACTGAGAAGTAATAAATATGTACTACAGGAGTTCAGCAGTGATGGAGAGGAAATGAGTTTAAAATTGACATCGTGTTCGTTTCTATATTGGAATCACAATACTTCCATTACTGTACAGCTCCACAGGACAGAGGGAGCTCTTCCTACAGTAGTACACCAACCTGTGAAGTATTACTGATACAGATGAGGGTTGATGTTTGTCAACAGAAGACAAACTTCTCCTCTTAAATCTAACAATTGTGTCAAAAAGAAAAACATCATTCAATCAAATGAAGCCTATCACTGTGAACAACCCCCCCTCCTCGCCCCCCCCCATCTATCTACCTTGTCAGGACTGTTAACTTCACCCTCTTAACCAGAGGACAGAAGAAAACAGCAGCGTTACTCAACATTTCCCTCATAGAATTTTCTTGGCCTCCTCTCCCCCCTTTTATACCGTGTGGGGGCCAAAAAGAGATTAAATGAGCCATTAAGCTTTATTTAGGCGAAGGCACCTTCCATTAGTAAACTGGTTGCTGTCGATGGTGCCCAGAGCTGGGGTCATAAACAGCCCTCTGGCTTCCTGTTGGAGGCC